CTATGGACGTCACGGATCTTCCTAATAACGTGGATACAAACATGACATGCCAGCCGATATCTCCCGCACATTTTGGAAACGCCAGTAAGCCAGCTTAAAGATTGCAGCTTTGAGGAACTGATGATGATCTTTTGCCTCGATATGGCAGGCAGGAATTTCGAGTCTGTAAATACCTATCACCGAAACTATGGCTCTTCAATCAGAATGTTACTTTCGTCTGGATCACATCGATATAAACACCGGTATGGAAATCTCAGCAGAATTCTGGCCATTGTTCTACGTCAGGTTTGTGGATGACATCGTCGAAAGGAGGAACGACATGGCGAAGCGGATCAAAGGTTTTACAAATTATATGAATCAGCAGGACATCGATGATCGAACACGGTTAACTGCCAGAACCGAAGTAATCCACAATCCAATCCTAAATATGCTTATGAAGAAAACACCGTCATCTAAATTTAAAGTTTCTGTTTATCAGAAATAGACTCACTCGAAAAGGTTATTAAATCTGAGGTATTGTGTTCCACTTGATCATTTTTGAAAATATCGTGAGGAACACACATTTGCTCACGCAGGAAACTTGCAACACCGCTCTACGTCTTAGACGCTAAAATTCGACATCATTATCAATAATGCTTGACGAATGGGTGTTCAATGAAGACCTTCATAGGGAACTATTGTACCGTAGCTATGGATTCATGAAACGGGATGAGAACAGACCTGTAGTAATTTTGCCATACAGACACAAGTATTCTAGCCAGTCAGAATACACCTAAACAGTTTGTAGTTCAAGGCCTATCCAAGATGTGAGGAAGCATGGCAATAGCAACCCTGAGGATGTGGTATGTATGGTTACAGCATCCAGTGGCGACTAAAATATACCTCAGGAAGACTACTGGAAACTGAACATCCGGATTAAAGAGCACGCAACAACAAATCCGCTTACGACAGCCTAACAACTACGGTATTGCGCAACACGCCATTTCTAAGAGCTATTCTTTCGGTCAGCCGAATGTACTTATCACCAAAAAAAACTAGCTAAAGCTTGGCCTTTAAATAAAACAGTCCATTCATATTCTAGCAATGAAACTCATTGTTCTTGCATGTATGAGGCTGCTTGCTGCCTGCCATATCAGGATTATGTCCTGATGGTGCTACTCCGTTTGTGGCAAAACTCAAAGGCAATGAACTGCTAATACCTGTTGTTTGATACCCTAAACAATGAACTGGCGTACAATTTACAGTTTCAACAACCGATCGAGAATCTGAAATGCTATATCAGATTTAAGGTTAATTTAGACTTTTTCAAATTACGTATTTTATGATTAGAGAACAAGACGAGTGTGTACTTTGTTGCTGACATGCACCACTTGACGTTGGGAAAATATACATTTTATATATGTCATAACAAAGCAAAATACAACGGTCTGCCATATTTGATAATATTTGATAACTATATACTTTGAAATATATGTCTATCAGTGCAAATGATCATCATAGCATTCATCCGCCGTTCAGAAAGAAATAGAGTATCATGATGAACATTTCTGAATAACGCTTTCAGAGCAGATCTTAAAGAGTTTGGCCACCCAAGTCTCGAAAGATGTTCTTTTCTTCCTCTCCTGATATCACTTATTAAGCATCGTTTAAACAGACATTCTGTTCTTCTCCCTGGTGAGATTGCGCTGTCTGTTTAATGGTAGACCACACAGTGGAAAGAAAATGTTAATGCTCTTACTTTTAGAATTAGTAGGAACGATTGCCCGCATTTTTCCGTTAAGGTTTCTAATCAGGGTACCTTTCATGAATGGATCTGTCTCTCAGGCATATGCAGCTCTATCAGTATACTTAAGCCATTCCTTAGTCAATCGCTTCACAATTCATCCTGAAGTTAAAGACTTGGGTAGGGCTTCATAGAAGTGCATTCTACCGTATTCCGCTATATCATGTAACTCTTAGCTATTCATCGTATTTTGGTGTAATTTTGATTACAATAGGACTTATGATAATCTATTTACAATTTACTATCACAAATAACTACTCACAAACGAAAGCGACTGTCTACATGTCGCTTTGAAGAAAATATTGAAATTGTGATCTAGCATGAAGTATTGAAATGTACCCTTATGACCACTGGTCACTTGATAATAGAGAATGAGTGTTGTGAACCATGAAACAGTTAGCTAACGAAGTAATAGTAGATATTAACTAAGAGATAAATTCCTAAGATTTTAATATTCCTAGAAGTCCGTTTGAAATATTCTGGTCACAGACTTGGACGAAAGGACTAATGAACACCATTCAGACAAATCCGTGAATGTGTATTATAAATGACTAGGGCCTTTATCTTTTGAACAAAATACTTTGTTTGTATGTGATATATTTACAGAATGGAGTTCTGTTTGTTGTTTTCATTACGCACAAGCTGATTAATGCATATCACTTGCTTCAAAATATTTAAATCCTCGTTTAGGCGTATGTTCCCCACCATCCGTGTCACTTTCAGCGGCTGTGATCCAGAAACGAAATATTTTGTGCTCGTAGACATCGTTCCATTGGACAGCAAGCGGTATCGATATGCATACCATCGCTCGTGCTGGCTTGTGGCCGGTAAAGCTGATCAGCCCACCCCTACACGCATTTTCGTTCATCCCGATTCCCCATTCACCGGTGAACAACTGTGCAAGCAAGTAATAACGTTTGAGAAGCTCAAACTGACCAATAGCGAAATGGATAAGCATGGACATGTAACGAATTTTCTGACATAACGACCGAATAGATTGATTTTTATGATTTCAGGTTATTCTCAATTCGATGCACAAGTACCAGCCAAGAATTCACCTGCTAAAATACCCTGAAAATAAACCTCTCGACCTGACCAGCACTGCGTTTCAAACAGAGGAGTTCAAAACGTTCATATTTCCGGAAACGCAATTCACCGCCGTCACAGCATATCAAAATCAATTGGTAAGCTCTTGCAAAATTGAACCAAGTTTTGTGTTACAGCGCAAGCTCTTAGATAACGAAATTGAAGATCGACAGTAATCCATTTGCCAAAGGTTTTCGGGATTCAACTAGGATTTCAGAATATGAGAGGTAAAGAAACGTTATGTTCATTTTTAAATCTACTGTAGATGCATTTAGTTAAAATGCTAATGAGGCAATCGGTGAAATAATCGATAGTAAAATTACCTATTGATATGAAAATGAACCTACAAATCATTGAACGACACAGTAGGTAGGTTTAACTAAAGTTTTCGCCGTCTTCAATATCAGGCATAATCTTCAAAACAGTTGTATCCTTCTGAAGACCATTTTGGCAACGGGATGAAACCAGTGAACAACATCTATCCTAACTTGGACAAAGCCCAGCAAAGAATGAGAAGGACCGGAATCATTATTCAGTCTCGCCACTGATATGCTTACCGTATTTATATTTCATATCAGACAAAACTGTATTTGAAATAAACAGTGACTGTCACTGTCCCTCCCGAGTTTAATCGTTTCAGGCTGTAGAAGCTTTACTACAGACACTGAGTGATAAAGTCATAATTCCGTATGTCTGCCTGTGAATGTTTTGACAAAGCGTGTGGCTTAGCGACAGCGACGCGCACCGCTTCATCAATTTGTCACCACGAAGCGATGCCCGTTGATCGCTTTACGAATAATGAACTTGAGCTAATTTTAATATGACAGATTATCAGCCGGATTAGGAGCCTTAATCAGCATGGATTTGCGCGGTTCACATTAATCACGTCACGGGATGGCTGAAATTTTTTGGCTCATTACATTTGCATTTAAATTTTCCCATCTGTTCAAACTGGCGTTGCCAAAAACGGGACATGCCTAATTAATTGTGCTTTAATTAAGGGACGCTCTTCCAGCAGTTGCTGATGATATCAGCACGTATGGTCAGCCGTTCCAGTACTATCTTGCCGGAAGTCGTCTCATGGGTGACAGTCGATTGGGTATGTCAAAATATACAGTAGTATTTATGTCATAGCCATACACGTTTCAGGAAATCTCTTTCCAAACATGTCTTACTACAACTGTTTTCCGAACATGTGGTCTCCCGGTTCCACGTCATCGCTCTGGCCATGTTTTGGATCTTCAGGTGGCGATGGAGGGTCCGTGTTACAGAACTTTCTGATGGAAACACCTGATGCCGAAGCGGTCGAACAAAAAGAACAGAGCTTGGGCAAAGTGCTGAACTTACCCTCATTGATTTCTCTCAATGACTACAAGAACTTCAAGTTCATAAGGGACAGGATCCTATCTGGAATTGGCCTATGTAACCGCTTTCATCCATATGCGTCAACGGTCTGATGAACGGAGGCTGGCTGTTTGCTGTCTTTCTTTTACTCTCTGCTATTTCACCCGTCCTATCGTTTGTTTCGAACGAAGTTCCATATCGACCATTGAACTTAATGGTAACTTCTGTATTGATGACCGTAATTTTTAGCTTGTAGTAATTCGTTTGCCGGTGTCACGTGTTACATAGCTGATTGGTCGAGTACGCCGTTCGTATGTTCCTCGGCCTAAACAACAGATGGCATTGTTACGGTTCCTGTAGCCGACCAAGCAGTTCCCGAATTCATGGCTGGTTGAATAAGAAAGCAATCTGCCCAACTTCACATCATCAACTTACTACCGTGGCTTCAGAAGTGAATGCATCCTATTAATGAGCTATTATCGACGCATTTATTATGAATATTACAGTCTTCTTTAATTGTTTATTAATAAACTAAACCATTTCGTTTGTTTGGCAAATGCTGACTGAACCGTAAGCTAACACAAGAAAATGAAAACTGCTCTGAAAGATGAAACACTCATGAGAAGCAACCTCAATTCGGATCGGTTTGTCAGTCAAATTATTTGTAGTCAACTCAACCCTAAAAGATAACAAAATATTTTTGTAAATAATATCTAAGGTTTTTGATTCTGAACTCAAAATTATACAGACAGGTGTTTGAATGGTTCAAGGAACCAAATACAAGAGATAATAGAACGGTTTACTGGCAAAGCGTTTCGCTACACAGACCATAGCACAGTCAGGGCTTATATGTGTGGCCATTGGTTAAGGCGAAAAACTTAGCCCATAGAGCGCACAGGGATCAAGCAACTAAGGAACGCTTACAACGTTCTACTGTATCTCCGAAGCAGCTCATTGCCATCTCGTTCTTGCAGCCAACCAGAGCTACGGGCGGAGCTAAACGCTACACTTGCACCATGGCTGGATACTCTGCCTTTAAAATACGGCATTCCTGACTGATGGCAAAGAAACAAAGAATGAACAATGCACCATCAATTTCGTGAAAAGAAGAGCGCCAAAATGCCGCGAAAGAGAACGAATACCAAAAAACAAACAGGAGGGACAGGAAACTTTGGCTGAAGGGAGAAATTAGGAAGCCACATAGGGTGGGTGGCGAACAGTGTTCAAAGTACAGAGATATTTGTCCGTTAAGTAGGGAACTCGGCGTTTCCTTAAGTAAGACGATAAGAGTCCTATTGGCAGGTCATAAAGAACGCCTTCTAAGGCAGACTGAACCTTCCCAGCCGCTGATCTATGATTCGTCATTTTCGATCGTTAATTCTCTGCCAACACATGAGGTTAGTTCACCCTCAAAACCGGAGTTCAGAAAGCCTTGCTACATCTCAAGAGGAAAGAATTCTTCTCAAGTTCATTAATTATGGAGGAATGGAAATGACAAAAGCGCTTCACGCCTTGTTTTATAAAATATGAACCTACAAACGTTCCTAAGGAGAATGGAAGTTCGAAATACTTTTTCTATATTCAAAGGAAGACAAGTTACCGTGCATTCTGATTTCGCGGTGCCACACTACTGCCAACTACTGGGAAATGTTTTTCTTGGATTATGCTTAGGTGACCTTAATTTCTCCCGGCGCCATTTTTATACTGATGGGCGATTTCAGTATCCGTGCCCAAGCAGACACTGGAAGTAGAAACGCGTCACTTTAAAGAACGAATCTAGCGACCTCAACAATAACAGCACGAAATTGCTCCTGTTTGGTACAAGCAACTGACTGTCCATTATTAATACCTTCTTAGAGCATCGAAACTTCCTTCCCCATGTCTGCTATAGAAACTTTGGGCACCGAAGTCGATGATCGATTTGATGATCGTATCGTATGACTTAAGATCCTGAGTAATGCATGTTCACTTTAAGAGAGGCACAGAGATGTCAACCAATCATCACCTTGTTCTTGGCACGCTGCGCTGTAAGAAATGGAGCATCACGTTAAGACTGGAAACACAGTCTTCTGCGAATAGCACTGCAAAACTTGCAACATCTCACGACGGCACGAGCAGGTCCCAGTGGCGAACGCTGAAGTGGAAACCTAATGGAAATTCTTTACAGGCAGCTTACTTTGGGCTGCAGCCGACTGCCGCAGTCTAAACTTGGTTGACGTGCTGCCTGAAGATCAGAACAGAACTTACTGCTGGATGCGAGAGGTTTAACTAGCTGTCAGCGAGAACAAAACAGCTTTCAAGAGGTGGCTTGCAAGCAACGAAACTTCAACTCGTATGCAGTAGGAAAAAGCAAGCATTGCGACAGTGACAGGAGCAGCCAAATCGAACATTCCGGAGAAATGTTCGGTGAAGTCAAATTTTCAGACGGAAAACAAGTTATTATGGCAAACCATCCGCTGCCAACGAAAGAGAAAGAAGGGCAGTCTGAGAATCTTGAAGAATAAATCTGAACACTGTCTTAAGAAAGATGGGGACAAACTTCGGTGAAGAAAAGAGTACTTTGTGAACTCGTTAAACCTGAGCAACCGCAGGAGAACTAGCCTGAAGAACAACAGGCAGAGAATATTAGGTTTTCAGTAGATGACGTCACAGAAGCTGTCAGAAGCTTCAAAATTGTCAGGCTGCTGGAATGATTGAAATGCCCCCTGAAATGCTCAAAGCTTTACCCGAATAACGCATTCTGTGGCTAACACGCGTCTGTGAAGCTACAATAACGATAAATAATACAGCAGTGGACTAGAGAACGGGAGATGTGGTATAGATGGTTAAGAAGGAAGGCCACAGAAAGTGCTCCAATTATGTGTTCATTACCATATCGAGTCTTTGGACAAAGTCTACACAACGGTATTAGAAAGGATGTGCTGCGGAAAACAATACAAGAACAGCGTGACTTCAGGTCAGGGGGGAGCAGAGTCTGAACAGATCGGATCTTCCTCTAATTCCAGGATGTTGAGAAATGATGGTAGTTTGCTCATCCGGTGTACATGTGCTATGTTGACCTGGAGAAAACCCATTATCGGATCTCGCGCAACAGTCTATGGGCATTTAAGCGAACATATAGGATCGATGATTAGTTGGTACGGGCCAGTCAATCGATATACGCTGAGAGCAGGTGTTGGACAGAGTACATGGCGTAAAGTAGAAACCTTTCAGGTTTGACAGTCAAAGGTGCTTCCTGTCCCATCTCTTTTTGTTTTCAATAGATAGGAAAGTTAAGAGCAGCCAGGTCGACGAGTGTGTCAGCGTAACAGATGTGGAGATGAGAAGTCTGCAGTTTGCAGATCATCGTTTTAACTTTCATTAAAGAGAAGAAAGCAGCGTTCAAGAAATGGCTTGGAAACAAGGAGCCATCTACACGCGTGCGATATG